CTTCACTATTAACACAAAATGCTCCTCTGCTTCAAAATATAGGACAACACATGGACAGTACCTTCAACTACGCTCGGAAAAACGCTCGGCAGATTTTGAGAGGAGATTTGAGATCAGCGTCTAAGGACGCGTCTGCTGGAGTGGGTCTCTCAAAACCGATCCTCTCGACCTCGAGGTCTTCTCTAGTCATTCTCATGTACAATTCGAGACAAGATTAAAAAACAAAGTGCCTTAGAGAGCGTGCATTTCAACATAAATGAATCTCTCTGAAACAAAGAGAACATGCGAATACGCGCAAGATTCAGGGTTAAAGAACACATGGACAATATTTCACTCATGAGCCGCATTCCGGCGAGCTCATGGTCCGCCAGCGGTCACAAGGTTGATCACGAAGTCCTTCTGGTCAGCATCCTCTGTTAAACCCCTACCTTTATTCACATCAACAGTGTAACCATTTCACACTCATTCCGTCTTTGTGCAAAAGGCTCTCATAAAGCTCGATCTAGCTAACCACGGCGCCAGAACACGGCTTCTGGAACACCTACGCGAGGTACTCATTTCATGGATACCTGAGCCTGAGAAATTTTTTCCAGAGCTTGAACTTCGTCGTTTGGCTCCAAATTTGATTCCTGTAATGGGGCAATAGTGTGAACAAGATGCAAGCATACAGTGGGTAAAGTTGAAGTAAAGTTGGTTATGAAGGAGGTCTAGTCATTGGTAAATCGCACAACAAATCTATTCAAATGGTGAGACCGCTTTTACAAACACTCGTGCCACAAAGATGCAAAATACTCTGGGTGCTCTTCATGCAAAAATACGTCGCACATAAGTTCTGCATCAAATGGACTCCGAAGCCGGCAGAAAAAAAAGTGTACCACTTTCTGAGGAAGTGAATGACCAAACTGTTACCTGAATTCCCATACCACGAGAACTATATGACAACGCCGCCGATGCAACGGGAAATGTCGGTGGAGCGGAAGCTGGATGAGCGTACCGCTGCAGCGGAGGTGAACCCGTTCGAATAGGACGCTCTGCTACCTGAACACAGAAACATACGAAATGAAGAAAATAAGAAGATGGATGGTACATATGATTTCACATTTACACTTCTGCATTGTTTGAATGTCGCCACATGTTTCTAGTTGTTGTATTTTCAAGGTCTTCCAAAACACTCGAGTCATTTGAAAGCTCCTTTGGGGAAGCTCAGGAGTTCGCGCACAGAAAAAAAGGTATGGGAATGAAATAATTTGCCAGGAAGCAATATACAGGACACATTCTGAACATTAAGAAAATCGTCTAGGGGTGAGGCGTGAGTAACTTAACTCTCTTGGGCGCACATGTCAACATACAAGGCAGTAAATTCCGTGCGAATTCCGATGAAGTTACGTTGGGCTGCGTTTATACTTTGCGCCAGCGTAGCATAGCGTACCGCAGCGTAGCGTAGCGCTTCCAGCGTACGCGCATCCTCTCGCCAGCGGCAGTGCTGGGGAGAGGATGCATATCGATCTAGCGTTCCCAGCGTCACCAGCGTCACGCTAGCGTACGCCAGCGTTTCTCCAGCGTTTCACCAGCGTTTTGCTAGCGTTTGCAGCGGCAGGGGAGTAGAGACTATGGGAGAGCTGGAGGGTACAAAACACATCGATTGCGCGTCTCTCACTCGCCCTCAGTCTCTACAATACACATCGATTGCGCGTCTCTACGGCCACATAGTCTCTACTCCCCTGCCGCTGCAAACGCTAGCAAAACGCTGGTGAAACGCTAGCGTGACGCTGGTGACGCTGGGAACGCTAGATCGATATGCATCCTCTCCCCGGCACTGCCGCTGGCGTACGCTGGAAGCGCTACGCTACGCTGCCGCAAAGTATAAACGCAGCCTTATGGTACTGCTGTCTTTTGTAAAACGCCACTGAATGAATGACTGCCTTCGGGGCATTTCCTGTAAGGCCGAAGTAATCCACGACCGGCTAGAAACGAATCGAAGGGTTTATCAAACACTGATGCAATTCCTGGCTAATCGGTGACTGGGAAAAACTCGAGCAGTGGGAAGTAAATTTGTTTCTCAGGAGGACATTATCTGAAAATAAACAAAACAGCAGAGCAAAGGTGGGACGGTGACTGGAACGACTGAGTTGGGCGAACTTCTCACGAAATAAAGAAGCGATTCTTGCACGAAGGAATTGGTTCAGTCGACCAGAGATCCTTAACCCGGACGAAATGCTCGTCCTTTTTAATTACAATCGATTCACATCATTTTTCAACGTATAAAACAAACCGCGTACAAAAACGGATAAAACAACTCGGAAAAAGTCAAAATTAAGCGCGCGATGTTCCGTAGTTCTGCAAACGTTTACAGAATCCCACCTCCCTCCCTATCCGAATGAATGAAGGATGCACACAAAGCAATACGATACACTAGAGAGACATGATAACGCTGCAATCAAATTTTGTAGAAAAAAATTATATATTTCATTCTGAGAAGCACTTTCTTATCATGAAAATTTTCTTCGAGCGGGCGACCTATAGTTGAGCAGAACCTAGAAAGATAGTCATCAGATGTAATGTGCTCTCGCAGAACAATTAATTTAGTTCGATATTCATCTTTATTAGCTGGATCCAGCGAAAATGATGTTGACGAGAACGAACTGGTTGCTGACGCCATCATCCTCGTTCAACGGGAAGGACATCCCTGAATGCTCTAGCAGCAAGCATCAGGTCAAGAAATCAATATGATGAACTGAACGACTTAGCACCAGAGCTGAGCAGGAGGAAGCGAGCGGCTTGGGGAGCCTTCAAGAACATCGAGGGAGTAGCGAAGAAGACGAAGAACACCAAGCTCCGTGCCCACCTCTTCGATTCCGCGGTCCTTCCTGCCTTGACGTACGCCTCAGACTCTACGAAAGCAGGATGAGCATGCGGTTGGCGTTATTCAACGCGCCATCGAAAGGGCGATGCTCGGAGTTTCCCGCTACACGCAAGTGAGAGAGGGAATCCGGAGCTCCGCACTCCGCCGACGATCGAAGATCAGAGACGCCGCCGCATTTGCCAAGGTTTCGAAGATCAGGTGGGCCGGGCACGTCATGCGTTTCGAGGACGACCGCTGGACCAGAGCGATCACCGACTGGATTCCACGGGATGTCAAGCGAACGCCTGGACGACCGCCTATGCGATGGTCAGACTTCTTCGTGAAAGCTCTGAACGAATGGTATGAAGTTCATCGTGTCCCTCGAGCAGAGAGAATCATTGGGCAACTCTTGCACGTTGCAGGGACGAATGGAGACGTTACTGGCGCCCGCTCGAGGAACTCGATGATCAACGCGAGCACCGGTGATATAGGTGATTCAGTTTTAATACGTTCAAACAGGATAATGTTCAAACCTTTTAACACGCTACGCTCATAAGTAAAGAGCACCTCAAGTTCCTCGGAGCTTAGCCTTGAAGCGAAAAACTGCTCATAAATGACGGAGCTCAGCATCATTCTTGCCGGCAAGTCCGATAGTGCATTTATGTATTGAATAACAGCAGCAGGTGAGCAATCCATTGAGAAATACGGTAATATCCGTAATGCAGACGTTCCTAGAATATAGAGATCATTGCTGTACTAAACATGAAACGATATGCAGAAATAGCGTGTAGGAGACTGCCACACCTAAAGCAGGAGTAGGGGTAGCATTGGAGTCAGTCGCCGTGGGCGACGGGGTACGCGAAGATGATGCAGATTCTGGGCGTTCTGTCTCTGCATCCTGAGTGTGCTTCATTTCTCGCCGTTCTTCACCAAACATATCAAGGAGACGATGGTGCAGCGTGTTGATATCGTTCCGAGTTCGCCCAACAAAAGTGCGCTCACCATCACTCCAAATCATCTATAACAGTTCAGGGTCAAAATGACGAGAAAAATTCCGAAGATATTCAACTCACTTCAACGAGGAAGTTATCGGGATCATTGACATCAGGCTGAGTGGCATGAAATCGACGAACGAAGGCGAATCCACCGGCTAACGGTGACACTCTACATACTGATGTGGACTTCTGGTCGTTGGCTGTAGAAGAAGGGACCACAGGCGGGTTCAATCGAGCCGTAATTTGCTCCAATTTCCTTCTGATTTCATCGCGAGCATGTACCATACGAATGCGTTGATCAACAGAAAACGCTGGATGATGTATTGATGCGGACACTGAAAAAACAACTTTACGACAGATATAGTCAGGCACCCAAAGTCCGTACAGAGACTCTCAAACTTTAGCCAGAAAGTACTCCATGCAGGGCACATCCTACCGTTGCGAAAATATTTTTCAAATACTACACACCCTCACAATCTCCTCCTCTGGCACGACCCCCCCCCCTCCCAATCCCACCTACGATCTTCCTGAATTCTCACGATTTTTCACCACTTTTCTGGGGTTTTCTTTCCCAAAAAAAAACTGTCGCAAGCGGTGAAGGGAGGGCGGGGGTGGGTATAGCGCACGTGTAGCGTGAAAAACCTAAAAAAGTCTACGAACGAAACCATTTTTCACAGAGACGAATAGACCCCCTTCCTCCAGCCATCAAATACGAATGCCCTCACTGTTGATCCCAAAGTCCCATTGCTGACTTCATATGCTCCGCTATGTGCTAAGAAATTTTTGCACACTTCCACGCAATATTTGAGATTGTATAGTCCTTCAACACTCATGAGCACCACTCCAACCAGGCTGTGATTGTACTCCAAGCTCGCTCAACCATGAAATGCATTCACACGGCTCGCTGCACACATCCTTCCGGTCAAGTGGAACTCCAACCTCTCCGCATGTTTTTTCGAACTTAGTTCAGCCGCACAAGCCGCATTTACTTCACCGTCAGGACTACAGTGCTAAAATGAACAGCTCGCCACCTCAAAACTGCACCACTAAATTTTTTAAAACTACATTTAGGACGTTGATATGGAAACATCCCAAAATGTGCAGCGGAACATAATCATCCGAAATCCTGAGCATATTAAATATAACCCATAATTCGTAGGAATGGCAGATACTGTCTACATTTCATAACAGTTCAATGACCACGTTATTATAGCAGGCGCTGGGCGGCGTAGCAAGTCTGCCGGTCAGGTCACTCAACCAGGGTATGTGGCAACGGGTGTATGTCGTTCGGCGCGGCCGGATTGCCATTGGGGGGCATCGGCAGTAATTGACACCCTCATTGGGGGCATCGGCAGTAATTGACACCCTCAGTCCGCTGATGCGATGCGTGTCGTGTACAGGGCAACTCGTCCACGTTTGTTAATAACTTGATTAACTTGTTCGGCTACTTGATCGACCTACGCTGGCAATATCGAGAGCACTTTTGAGCTCTGATCTATCCTACTTCAAAACAGCTTCCAGTTTTTATGAGTGCTCCTCTGCACGGTAAGTCCAGTTCACTTTACTCAGAGGAGTTTATCAGAAAATTTGTTATCATTCGCTATTAAACATTTCTTCCTTATGCACGCTCGGGCTATAGTTACAATGACCTTCCATGCTGGTTCCCTTTTTTTCTGCGAGTATAAACAAATTTGAGTATTTAGTTTTCCTTCCATTTGGCTTTCATGGGCTGTGTTATTTCATAGGAGGCCCTGCAGTTTGCATTCTCTTGGAAATGGGGCATTTTAGGGAGTGGAGACCATTTTCAAAACATACTAGAGGTTTGAAACATAATGTAGAGGTACATGAATTAGAGGAAACCAACGTATACTTCCGATTCACTTCGAGGTGCTGAAAGCAGCGTCCTTAGACGTCCTAAGGTTTTCTCACTCAATAGTATTACTATTTAAATGTTTCTAAACTACTCAAATTCAAGTTTTTTCTATTCGTTATGTCACTGTCATTGCTGATATATGTCATAGATTTGATGTCTCCACTGGGCATAGCAAATGAGTAACGGCAGAGTCACACCTTCAGACTCCCCTGTGGCAGTAATAAATGAGGAATATCATCCTTTGAAAAGGTCAGAATGCCAGTTCCAACGTAAGTGTAAAGGGGTCATCAATCGGGTTACCACTCGAAGTACCATTCATTGTCTACTGAAAGCTGCTTCGAAGTAAGATATATCAGAACTCAAAAGTGCTCCCGATATAACCACTTCTAAGTAGCTAAAATGGTTGAGTAGGAGATTCGGACGCAATCGGTCTTCTATGTTGGCGCACTGCCAACGTAGGTGGATCAAGACGTCAACCAAGACATTAATAAACGTGGACGAGTTGTCCGACCCACGAAACGCGTCGCATCGGCAGGGTGGTGGGTGGCAATTACAGCCGATGCGCCCCAATGGCAATCCGGCCGCGCCGAACGACCGGCTCCCTGTGGCAAGAGAATCGTAATTCGCCGCGCCAGTGGGCGTCGCGTGCGACGTCGCGCCGCTAACGACGACGATTTTAGGTAATATTGGTCGAGAATAGACAATGTATGACAAATAGACATAAGTGTCCACCATGCCCTTGTCTACATGAAATCCGATGCTGCAATCGAAAGGGTAGTGCAAAACAAAGAAACGTCGTCCCAATGCCGCGCGCGACGAAGCGGCAGTTTACGATTCTCTTGCCCGTCTCCCACCCAACCATCTTGGCGACTGGTGAACCACTAGGTTTCACCAGTCGCCAAGATCATTAGATTTACCCAAGGCCTACTTTCAATACAAATGAGGACCTATGAGGTGTTTATCAATTATTCTACGAGTTCTTCACTTTGATGGTGCTATAGAGCTTTCTTAAAAAAATTTCCGTGAAAATTTCAGCAGTTATGAACTATGCGTTTAGAATCTTGTTTGGGCCAATAGCATCCGCTAAAATGGAGTGGTTCAGGAACTAAGTTAGTAACACGATACTAAGTGATCAGAGCCACTTTATTAGGCATGCTCAACCATACCAACGGTGAGATATACCGCTCGCGGGTTGACGGTGACTCGGGAGACTTGCACGATTTCCTGGCGCTGTTGTCTTAAACTAAGTATTGAGGGAGAAGTATTTCCATACCCGTATGAATCCGAGAGGTGAACCTTGAATGATGGTGGAACCACAAAATAACATTCAAACCCACGTGCCAAATAAAAATGGTGGATGATGCCTACGGATTTATGCATCAAACATGTCACAACATCCATGTTTTTATATGGGATACTTTCACTCCACATCAAACATGTTCATATTTTATAAAGGGCCAAGCCTTCGTCTTACCACGCTCTAGGAATCTGGGTTTAAAAATGAAAAAAAGAAGCAATCACCAAGTTTCCCGAGATTAATCAACACATCCTTGCGGGCCTCATCGCTTGACAACAGTTCCAACTCCAATTCTCTTATCGTCATCAGATGATCCACCAAACGGATCAAAGCATGAGCTCCTTGACGATTCGCCGAATTCAATAAACAGACAACGTTATATGCAGCTTCCACTTTCAGTGCATATGGTACTTGACTCCTAAAGTAACTAAAACTGGTCTGGCTGGTCGAAGGTGGTTCGAGAGAAAAATTACTGACATCTCAGTGGCCATCGTGCTGATAAACTGAGGACAGTTCGATCGAGTTTCGTGTTGTCGCATCGTCGGTGTCGATGATGCTGGTCGAGCTGCTCCCTCAACGCACGCTCCCAATAAACGTAGCTCATACACGTTTAAAAATGAAACCAATTCACAAATGGTATCCACGCGATCCCATGATGACATCTGAAAGTAATCGAGAGCATAAAAAATGCTAGCAGAACTCTACTACTCTACATTACACCCGAGGATCTGTTTCAATAAAAGAACTTTGACAGTTAACATCAAAATAGTGAGCAGCTGCTCTACAATGGAGAAGAATGTCGTTAATCAAGCAGCCCTATTCTGATGGGTCGGTGCTCAAAAACGATTGAAAATGAAGCTCTAATAAAAAAGAAAATAGCAGTAATCTTGATTCACATTGCATCTAGAAGTCTCTGTTTCAGTAAAAAAACTGATAAAAAAGTACTACCACTGCACGGTTTATACAATACACACCAGAGTTCCTCGCCTTTCAGCATTTCAAAAAAATCATCTAATACAATAGTAGCAAAACTTAAATGCTCTTTGCTGAGAAAGGGTACTAAAAAAACCGTACTCACAGATAGCACATTTAGTAACCCGTCGCCATTTCCGCTTGAAGACTCTGTTTGTGACGCAGCACCGCTTACGGAAGTGTAGCCTTCAGATGCACCACCTCCTACTGCTTCGGATGAAGAACAGCAAGGATAGGTGTCCTCTGGTGTGCGTACACCGCATTCATCACTAAACATTAACAATTAAACAAAATAAAGAAATTTCTTCCTGTGTTGTTAGAATGAAACCTCCTGTCACTTTATGAGATAACGCTTCGGGCCTTAGGCCCTACCTCATGCCTACACTGACATACATTACGTATACTATAACAAAAATAATAAACAAGCAGAGATGGAAACCATATGCCATTAACAACTGACTAAGTAGTATTCACACTGGGTTTGGGGGAGCGGGTTGGTCCCGAGCGTTTCGCGAATAGCTGCAGTTATTAAGGGATGGGTGCAGGACAGTGGTACGCGGGAAGAACTTACCTCTCTAGCAGCTCGCATAGACTGAAATAACGCAGCAAGATTGGTAGTGGGTGGGGTCAAAGATGGTAGTGTTTGATACACACAAGTCGCCAAATGTCACCTCATGTCATACTTCATTCTGTCACATCCAATGCAGCGATGATGACCGTAGCCCTTATCTTTCTTTACACAAAGTCACAAACGTTCCTTTAGATCACGCGGACGTTGATTTGAGGTGCACGCTCGTGCGTTTGCCGCCGTTATGCCTCAAGAAGGGCTTTCCGGCTATGTGCTGGGAGTCAGGAGAGCCCTGAGGTGTTCATCCAGCCTTTTGTAAAGAGGGCATCCGTTTTCTCTAACGCAACACGACATGACGCACACTCTTCTTCGTGCACGTGGGGAACAGGTAATGACAGGGAATACGAACGACACAACAACGACATCATGGTGTTTTTAAAAGGCATATTTCTCATTCTTGGCAGTACGTGCAGTTTGTGCGGGCACATTAACTTTCATACAACTGATATTATGTGAAAAGACGGCGTAGTCTTGGCAGCGGTCGCGAAATCAGGCGGATAGGCACCCCACACCTCTTTATGATGCGATTGACATCCGAGCGATTTAATTTGATTTAAAATGAAGTAGGATGAAAAGGGTTTGGCTTCTGCCGACCCCTATTTCGGAAGCGGCACGCAGTCTACTTCCAACCAGAATCTTAGTGGTTTATCGAATGCGATATGGCCTATACTGCGGGGCCTGGCCGACCCGGGATTTGATTCCAAACACGCGTAGTAAACGGGATATTGTCACTACACCACCTCTGCCCAGGATAACAAAGAAATCTTTCGAAAAATATTCATTGTGACGCACCTGCCATAGTCAACTTGGGATGCGAGAGAATACGACTGTGACATATCACGTATAAGCTCTCTTTTGATGACTTGATTACTTTTGCATCGACTATGAGCAGCATCGCGATCTCCACCAGAGGATGACATCGTATTACGTCTCGATGAATCCGATGAGAGTGACTCCACATCACTACTCTCTGTTTGCGAACTCGCAGCCTAAAAAATATGATGCACATTTCAACGACCTTATTTCATTCGGGCTCATTTTTTCCAGATAATCAGAAGCACTGCGGGTTTTTTTTTCTGAAAACGGTAAAGAGATTCCTTCGGGTTCAGGTTGAGAACTAAAAGAAAAGTGAATTTTCAATATATAAGAATAAGAGAAGGTAAGAATATCGAAGTATGGAATCTCTCAGGAACTCCCCGATAAACCTTTGCATTCACCTCTCAATAAAACACACATTAACTCTTGATAACACGTAAGGAGTATCAATCACGCAACACCTTCCTGTATCGTTTGATAACTGCTGTTTAACGCCGCAGTACGCGATACGAAAGCTATCACAAGAATGCTGAGTTGTGGGCAAAAGTCGGACCACGGACGGGATTCGAACCCGCATCTTCTGCTTACCGGGCAGTTGCGTTCCCTATTACGCTACCGAGGCCACTTTTGACCACTCAGCTCAATGGCTATTTGTGCCATAGCCTTACAGCACTCACACGTTCAACGTGATGAGCCGGTTAGCCGATATCGGCAGTGAACCGCAAGGCTGAAGGCTTTTTACAAGTTTCAAGCTGTTATTGTTTGATAACTGCTGTTTAACGCCGCAGTACGCGATCCGAAAGCTATCACAAGAATGCTGAGTTGTGGGCAAAAGTATTAAAAGAAGGATACAGTACCTTCCTGTATCCTTCTTTTAATACGTAACTATAACCTAGGCAACACCGGTGCGTCAAATAACAAGAGACAAGAAATTCACGCTATCACGTCTACATGGTATTCATTGACTACCGTCACCTCAGACATTCACACTTTTACGCCCGATTAAAGGCTCATCCATTTTGGAGCCCCACTAAACGGAAAGTTCGCGCACTGACTCGTGTCTCTGATTGATCACCATCTAACTGAACCCTTTGCTTGATTATCACCACACCACTTACCAGAAAATCGTTTTCGCAATGGGATCAAAAAGGCGATGGAATCTTTCTCCGCCAAAGAACCTGGGGAATGGTAGGCTTACCGCGGAAACGCTCAAATGTTGCCCTCACGTAACCGCAGCCGTATAATTCATTAACTTTATCTGTACTGCTAGATAATACATTATTCATATTACCCTGTCTGTTTTAATCACTTCCTGTCAATTTTCCCCAGCTCTATGGTCGAATCAAAGGATGTTATGAATTTTCGGAGAAACGCACATCAACAGACAGGCTCAACGAATTATATGTGGTAAGAATACCATGTCAATAAGATTTACAAAAAAAAGAATATGGTAAAAGAAACCAAAAGGCACCTTGCCGGTCAGCAGTTTATCTGACAACCTTCTTCGCACGTACAACATTAAATGAATAAAATTACTGGCACTCACTAAGCTTCCGTTGAGAACAGAAGTGCGTGCAACGCATCCATTCATTGGAGGCTGAGCATCATCACCGTTGGCTATTCCATTCACGGACGGCGCTCGGTCTTCAACAGGGGGAGGAGGAGGTTCAGGTATGGCACCCGCAGTACTTGACTCTTTTTGTGTGGCAGAGTCCCGACGAGCACTCAAACCGCCACTCTTCTTGCGGCGATTATTTGGCATCTAGGAGCAAATATATTCGCAAAATGAAAAAAATAGGCTCTTATACACATCAAATCTAAACTAGCAAATCAAACATAGACGCGGTAGTAACGGAGATAAACCGTCATGAAGACAGCAAGTTATACGTTGGAATGCTTTATTTAAACATGTATATATGAGCAATGGGGAGACCATGAAACCCGTACAGTCAAACCTTCCAAGTGAGCCTTGAGGCAATGATAACAGAAGGAACGGTCAAGATATCAGGGAGACGGCAAGACAGAAATGAAAACTTACAGAGGGCAAGGATTATACATACTTGTAGGAATAAAGGCACAGACATATAGGTAAATCCGAAAATCCAGACGGAAGACGTCTTCGCTGGTGCTTCCAAACTTGCAGCATCATTCAACATAACAGTAGCGATGGAACGAGAATTCGAGTCCATTTTCGGTCATTACTTCGGAGCGCGCAGACTCGACTTCTTGAAAGTGATCCCAAGCGACACCGGTGAGGAAGATGTCGGCATCAAAACTAAAACTCAGCTTTGCCTAATGACTAATGACTTCGAAAACCGATGATGACTAAAAAGGTGTTAAACTTAATGGGCGCAATTTATATGGGTCATTTTGCACATTTTTTTTTGCTTCGCAGAACTGTCCCAACTTAATGAGCGAAATGAGATAGCACTCACTCTTTTTGTATTTTAGTAACAATTAGTTCATTCACATAGTCCTTCTCCAGGGCCATCTTATAAATTTCTCCGCCTCCAATATTCCACACCTTCTCCACCTTCTCGGATAGCGGACCAGCAATCAACTCCTTCACAACCTCGTCAAAGTTACTACTAAATCGGATTATATGAACTTACTGCAGAACCGTAATGCCACTAACAAATCAAGAAAAGAGTAACCAGATGAATTAATCTACTTAACTTACCTAACAATAAGGTTATCGTCTCTGTACTCCGGTAACGTCCGCGTAATCACCACATTTAGCCGATTTTTCAATGGACGGAACTTTTTTGGGATGCTCTCCCAACACTTACGACCCATGATAACTGCGTTTACCTTGAAGAAGAAAGACATAAAAACCTGCAGTTAGACAGAGCATGTTTAAAATTCTGCATTAGATTTAATCTTCGGTCAAATCAATGGGCGGGGAGGGGGGAGGAGGAGAGGGGAACGTAACGAAATAGCGCTCTTAGAATCGAAAGGCCACCAGAAGTGTTTCATCGGAAATCCCAAACGCCTGGATTATGTGCATGCAGTAACTTTCCGAGGCGAAGGTAGCTCGGGAGTGGAAGTGCAGATATCCCTTATTATGTCCGCTCGTCTATGCCCTCTCACCAAACAAGAAAGTGCCCTATGTACCTGTACTAATCCTTACTAATTAGAAACAAAGAAAACAAAATATTGGAAAAAGAATACACTTCAAAGCACAGATGATCCGTTTCTCCCGTTAAACCCTCCAATAGATGTGGCTCCGTAGCGTCACTGTCCGGCACCCCTGAAAGCCTTGGCTCCTAATTCTCTGTGCCCTTCCATTAGCAAAATGCACGAAGCACCTAAAATCGTAAACTAAGAAAATACCGACCTTTGAGGGATCCGATGTTTTCGATGTGTTTTCAACGAAGAACTTCATGTCCTTTCTTAATATCCACGGTAAAGCGCCATTTTTCCCGATACCATATTTTGAGTCCACAGCCACAATCAAACCCATTTTACGGAGAACATTTGGCTGTTTCATAGCCTGGAAAACAATACATGAAACCCCATTTGATTAAAACTGAAGGATGGACAACGAATCAAATTGCTAGGGAATGCTGGCTTTGATGCCTAATAATAAATTTCTGTTCAAACTTCTGTAACGATACACATTACATCAAAATTCTAACTTGACTTTAATAGACTTCTTAAAAAACATATGATACTGCATGTCAAAAAGTGTTAAGCGAGTTGGGAACAGCACATCAGCCTCCTCGCTATTCTTGATCACTCCCACCCGTCACGCGGGAGATGAACCCTTCGATCGACATCCGACAGTCAAAAGTAGTAAGGACGGTTCATACTTGGCGACACTGGAAAATCGAAAACGCGCGAATTAGGAGTGTGCGCGCCAAGAAGCAGGTATCGATCTGGAGAGTAGGAGTACCATCGGACAATGTGCGAAAAAGATAAGGTAGAAATCTATTGGCTCCGTTTCGCGCATTCTCCGATTTTCTAGTGCCGCTAAGTACAAACGCGGTGTAGCTATCAGAAATCAGTGAAAAATCGTCAAAAAAGATTAGGACTGCTCTCTGCTCCTGCTCCACCTGCACCGTGCTAGCACGATGATGATGCGCCCTGTACACACCTACGCCACGATGAATAGGTGTGATCTGATCGTAACTGAACTCGGTTGAAGATATTTGCGGTTTTGACTCCTATCACGACTGTTTTTTTAACTCAAAAAACTGAAGTGAACATTGCTAACTCACGAGCCAAAAAACTTCGGGATAATCCTAAATTATGGATAAATCTGCAACCACTCTTCAGAGCGTCCAAAAGAAAAGCTCGAAGATTAGATGGAAACGCGAACAGAGCATATAGTGAACTGTCAAGAATAGGATAGCAGCGAAACTAAAAAATACTAAGGAGACATCAAATACAGCCCTTCAGCCCCACTACCTTCGCTTCCTTCGTGCTAATCACCTTGGAAGGACAATTTCAAAGGCTCGAATGCTTGGTTGCGGAAAAATAAGTCCAATGAGCACCAATATAAGCAATACTTCGATCTACGCAGGTGTGAAGGTTTCAAGGTGTGCTCAAGTGGTTGGTCCCGCAACGAATGTGTTCGCAAAACTTTGGACTAAATCCCGTTGAACTAGGCTCTGCGAACTGTTAAGTGAATTTGAGTAGAGAATAAAAAGCGCAGAAGCAAGAATCAAAAAATTCAAAAAAAGGTCAGCCAGACAGGCTCAGGACTTTCGAGATCATTACAGAGCTTTAGCTGATGTGGGACATGGTTCCCGTCTAAACGAATGTTGAATCTAAAGAGATATTTCCAGTCCTAGGTAAAACTAATGACATGAAAAGCCTTAATCTGAACCTGGGAAATTTCCCTATTTGGAACGGGCGCCTGGATTCTGGCAATCGATCGACGGCGCTCAATAGAGCGCGCAATTTTCCAACGGCTTCCGTTCATCGCCGCGACAGCCATTTTCTCGATCGGGGTGCTTTTTGACCTACAGTTTTGCTTCTTACAAATATCTTTTCCATTCCAAAACAATTTCATCTTTGAAAAGCTCTTTTGATGGCCAGAAACTAGATTTGTTACCTTTCATCAGTGCGAAGTCTGCTTTCTTTCTCTTGAAATCCCACAAAGCCATTTCGCTTCTGATCTCGTTAAGGTATTGCAAAGGTTGAAGGAGACAATTGATCAGCTGTTTTGAATCCGCAACTTATTTTCAACTGCCCAGAGTGCATAGCATGATTTAAAGGAAACCCCGTCTCTTTGTTTCCTTTGATTGGTTTCTCGGAATGAATTTTCGTACACGTTTTTTAGAGGCCTGGTAATGTTTCTCTTGCTCATGAAGTAGAACAATTCCTGTGCAACGATGCAATGAATCCAATGCAAATAAATACCATCCTGATCGAAGAACAAAAAAAAATTGATGAGGCGAAGAAAAGGTGCGAGATGAAACGAGGTTGTAACTGAACCGTGGTGAAGTTGTGGTTGTGTAGTAAGTGAAGTGTTAGTGGTATAGTAACAGTCGAGATTTAGGGACGGGGACCATTACATGAGGTGTATAGAGAAGTGTCACAGTGGGGTATAATTCACTATACATCAGTGTAGCCTAAGGTCCCTCCTGTTAGCTAATTGTCTTCTGCCCCTTTGTTGTCCCCGAGGAAGGTATGGGAAGGAACCTGCCGAGTTGTTTTTGTTACTTCCACATACTTCCACACATTAGCTGCAATTTTTCAATTCTTATTGGAATAGTGTTTCAACTGGAACTATTTTTTTCGTTGAAAAAAAAACTGGCTCAGTATGACAAGGAGCCTCTCTCCACGAGTTTGAAGGCAAACACTGCGAATGTATATCATGGATAGTGGCGTTCAGTTAAGCCTATAGTGCCTCAATAACTCCAAGGAAGGAGAAAGCAAAAGAACATGAAGAACACCCTAAGGACCTGGCAGGCTCTCTGGACGGTTCCAGACCTGCTCCTTATGCTAGTAAAGCGATATCCTGCCCCCTCTGGCTCACTGTTCGTTTTTCCTGTCATCCAGTGCTAATACCATCCAAGAGAAAAATGTGAAACCACGGTGTAAAAGCTGTACTTGAGACGGAAAATAGCCTTTGAGTTTTGCGTGGGCGGGACAAACTGAGAGGCGTCAGAACTGTCATGTATGAGGGCCGCAGCGCCTGCATTGCTGCGAAGTCGTGAAAATCGGAGTCTTAGTAACTGCGAGCAGACCTTGTACAAGAAAGGACCCCCGCGGTTGCTTGAAAGCAGGACTGTCCTTAAACTCTGAAAGAAAGTGAGAGACTACAAGTGGGTGACAAATTCCGTGAATATCGGTCCTGTCTGAGACTCTTTTCTACTCGACATACCTGTATAGATGATGGCAAAAAGAACTATTATGATGTATCATAAGAATTATTCGAAGAAAGGTCCATCGCTATCTTTTCTTGTGAACGAACGTAGATTTTTTCTGTGAGAGAATGTGGGTGGCCCAAAGAAACAAGTGGGCTACCAAAGTGAGTCAGTTCGTTTTCCTCAGCAATTCAGCACGATCTGTACATTATATATTGACTTGTTCTCGACTGCGAACTGTGATTTGCCTTACGAGATCGGAACCCCACTGATGTGATCTGCACGATTCAAAGTTGGTCGCAAGCAAGTTGTTGATGGCCGGACGTAAATTAGACCACGTACAGACTTCGCGATCGCGCGACTGGAGCGTGTGACCACGACCAGGGGCGCTTCACCCAGGGCACATCGTTGTTGGGGAATCCCCAACAGGGGAGGGGGTCGTATTTGGCCGCCAGGAGAGGGGGGTCGTATTTGGGCTGAGAAAAATTTATTTTGATAGTTGATTTTTCTCGCTTCATGGACGTTGTAAAGGGAGGGGGTCGTATTTACTTTCTGGCCTTTCTAGGAGCGGTGGGAGTGGTGGTTGATTTCGTGACTTTCCTGTTTCCGTAGTATATGCTCCCCCCCCCCCCCCGCTCGACGGCTCGATTCGATGAGGAAGGACAGAGGGCTGGGGGGGGGGTCGTACCAACTCCCAAAAAGGGGGGGGGGGTCGTATAGAATCGACTAAAATCCCCAGCCAATGATTGCCCTGGCTTCACCGCCGAGCAGTGCGCAATCATAACGGCAGAATTCAAACCGAGTCACGTTCACGCAGTGCCTATTTGAATTGTGCCTTTGTGGCGGTCCACCGATTGGTGGTGGAGCGCACCCGGTCGCGGTGGCGCGATCCAATCGAGCGATTCGACCGGCGGCGATCACGAAGTCTGAACGCGGTCTTAGTATAATCATGGAAAGGTATGGAGCAAAGCGCGTCGTGTGTATGAGTCATTCTTTCTACAATGGCGTTCAAACTTTGTAGAGGAAACGAATCGGCAGCAAAAGAAAAGTGTGCTTGTCGATCTAGCGAATCTGCCATTTCGGTCGAGCCTCTAGAAAAAATCTCGGCGCTGTTTATCGACGGGGGGCATTTTGTACTATCACTGCTTCCCTTGTTCCGGTTTGCAAATCTCACTTTGGTAAAACTTGTGAACTCTTGTAAAGCTGGAGCAGGATCGTCTAGCCACCATCCCAAAACGTGTCAACTCGAGAAAACGCTACCTAGATGGGTCGACACATCTATGGAAAGCAAAATGCCCCCCGTCGATAAACTGCGCCAAACATTTCTAGTCACTGAGAAGCGCCTCCGTCAAACCTTCATCTGGAAAACATTTGCTGTTTTCTCGTCGTCGTCGCATTTTCTACTCAAGTATTTCGAACCTATTCTGTATTTTTACAACACGAAATACTTTCCATGTACCTCTCGTGTCACTCGCTCTATATTCAAGTGCTTGATGTAAAGAGAGAAGATGGATATAGCTCGTAGTAGACCTTTCAGAGCTCTATGGAGCCCTCAACATCACGGGAGGATGGATTCCTTGGAGCACCGGTTTTATTCCATCCATTTCATGGTGAAAACATCGAGCTCCTAGAACACAGAAGAAGAGCACTGCGACGCGTCAGCTTCGAAAAGGTTCCACTGATTTCCAAAAGATTTCACCTTTCATTTGCATTATTCTTCGCTAAGGGACGTACAGAGCTTTGAAGCATGTAGGCCGTTGATGGTACGCCCACACAGGGGACAGCATCATGATTAGAGAAATGAATTAGTCAGTGTGATTTAACCCAGCCCCCCGAACTTCCTTGTCATTTACGATCTCCATCCGTTTCTCAAAAAAGGTATTCCCTTTTTCTCCGAGAAGCGAGGCTGAGCGAAAAGTGCAACCGAAAGAAAAGGATTCGTCGCGGCTTGGAGAAATTTTCCTCAAACGCAAATGCGCACCCCCTCCCCCTCCGGTTACCATGTACGGACACCCTGAGGGATTCTCTCAACGATGCTGACCTCTGTGCCCGTAACTCGGATTTCATAGGTAGGCCTATACGCCGATACAACTACACCTACACAATGGTTTGCGGAGATAGCCGATGACCAAGCGCCGGGGATGGATGGCGTTACTGGCCAAGATGTTGAGATCAAAAGCAATGTACTGTGAAGGTTGTGCTTTCAATGAGTGTTCAGGGTGTCGTCTTTTCCGAACGCGCTCTGTTGGAAGGAGAATGTTTTTTCATATCAATTGAGGGTGTAGAAGGAGGATGGTCAGGTCATTTACGAATTGGACTGACGACAATTGATCCGGAGACGAGACCCTCTATAATGTATGTTAGGAAATTGAGTTTCTAAAATCCCTCTCGCTATCCTCATATTTTTTACTGTTTTACTTCATCAGGGATACTATTAAGTACTTTAGGAGCCTCGATTCGAACTCCTGGCTGTATTCCGTTTCTCCTTTCATCGTTCCATTCCAAAATACTTTTCCTACTCGTTCACTCCCAACGGAAAAAGGATCACTGATAGGAGTTTATTATGAAAACAGCACTGCAACACCAAGGTCACTTTTTGACTATTTTCCATGGAGTTCTTGAGTTTTAATATTTTGTATGTTTACGTTATCCTTCCAGAATCCATGTCGTGTTGAATGGCTTTGACATCTGCCCGAGTTTCGGGCCCATTCCTTCGAATGTTCCATTTTTCGCCGTTGTTGATGTTTTTGGCAGCACGAAAGAGGTCAGATCATTTTTCATTTATACCTTTTGTATTGAGCAGTGTATAGTTTATTCGGAATGTAGACTTTTATTTAGACGTGGAGAAGGATCAGTACGATTAGATCATGCAGCAGCACAACACTCGTCTATGCTTAGCTGTTGAACTGCCTCGGATTTATACTTAGGAAGGATTTATGGTCATAGGAAGAATTGCAAATAGAATCACGGCGCAATTCGATGACAGGAGGGGGAGGCGGGCATTTTGCATTTTCGCTGCTGCACTAGTTCCGATTTACAAGTCTCATTCTGGTGGAACCTGTAACTCCTGGAGCAAGCTCGTCGAGCTACCACGGTAAATGGTATTTGTGTGGTATTCCACTGCTTTACAAGAGTTGACGGGTGTTTTTTACGAATTTTGGCTGGTATCATTTCATGGCCTTACCATATTCGACAGGTCTCCATCTCACGGCTTGACACGTCGGTGGGAAGTAGCAAGTGAAAAATGCCCCTCCCTTACCAGCTCGCCGAACTGTACCTGGAATCCTTTTTTATGAAGTAACATATACAGGGTTGTTACTAATCATGTGAAGTGTTTGATATATCGCAATGATCAGATGATAATTCGAAGGAATATCAAGAATTAGGATAAAGGGAGACATGGGTTGCACTAACGGGACCGAACCCGAATGCTACCGCTTCTAAAACAAGAAACTCACCATCGCGCCATAGTCATGTTTTTTTTAGTAAATGAACGCTGCAGTTTATGCGGGCCAAAGAATTGCGCCATTGCAAACTTTAACTGCTCGTAATTTGTGAAACTCATGTAGCAGATCTGGTTTCCTCTTTTGTTGAGACAGCATTTCACAGTACTGAAATAATTAGTCTCCATTTAAGTTTCCACGGTAGCTCAAAACCTTTTCTGGTAAGTGCTGCTTCGAAGAACTGTTCGGGTTTAAGGTTGATTGGTTATGATTTCAGGTTCGAGTTGTGTACCCGGGTCCACGCATGCCAGCTCGTTTGTACACTCTTTGTTCGGATCGACTGCGATGTCTGTATAATGAGAGAAAGTGTTCTTTGTCTAGACTACCGGCTCCCTTACGCAGCCAGCTAGAGCAGGAATGGAATAAGGAGGCGCGAGATTCCTCGTATTATGACTGGGAAGGAGTGCGGTAGTTGCAGTTGCACTTGAGTTTCCCCTCAAATACAATGTATATTTATTAATAGTGCAGAGACGGTAACGATACACGTGTGTGACTTTTCTGGACATTTCCATTTGTCCTACTTTGTGACTTTTGTGAACTAATAAATTAATGCCTGTTTGGAAGATGATGGAGCACTGGGAAGCCGACTTTTCCCCTGCTCATGATGAGAACATATACTGTAGTTCGCTGCGGACGGTTGGGCGTGTCAGTGCGGCTGCGTTTGGCGCGGTGCCAAACTCGTTCTCCACCAGTTGTTGAAGCGGGCAAGTGACAATACTGTATCATATCCTTCGTATTACTCGTTTTCTACCACTTTTTGTCGCATGCGCGTTTCAACAAAACGGCAGAGAAAGGCTCGGTGTGAACACTCATACTGGCTGACACGCCCAACCGTCCGCAGCGAACTAGAGTGTATACATATTTCCGGAAGGATTTTTGAATGGTTCAATAGACCGACTTAACATAGTTAAAGGCAAAGCCCGATTGCTGGTAACGGAGCTCAAATACGAACGACAAAGTGCTAGGTAACTGACTAAATAATTGAGAAAAGAAACAGAAAAAGCAGTTCAACATGCCCCAAAGAAGATTTTATGTCGACTCTTGTATGTGCATGCAATGAAAGGAAAGCGTGTTTATACGATTTTCACTGGTCGTTATAAAACGATATCGGCTCTTTTATCTTATCACCTCACTCCCGCCATTCGGAATGGATATAGATAGCATAGTGGCTAGCAGCCAGTGGGGTCGGCCAATTAGGCTCGCTTCGCTGGAAGCTGACCAATTAGGCCCACTGGCCAAAGGAGTGCCCATGGGCCTAATTGGTCAGCTTCCAGCGAACTTCTTGCCAGTTTCCACTTTTTGAATATGGCACACCCTTTGGAATCGCCTTTCGGATCATATGACACATTTGAGAGATCACGCCCTTATTTTATCACGGAAAGCGCCTCTAAACACGTTAGATTGCGTTCATACCCATACTGCGTCAGCGTTTGGGGCCTTTTGAGCGACTAGGGAAGTAAAGATATCGATGTAGCGCCGTGAGGGTAGTTTTGAAGTTTTCAGGGGCAGCTGCTGAAAACCGTGGCGTGACTGAAAACGCTGGATTGATACGAAGAATTTCCTAATCAAAGCACATCATTGTTGGGGATTCCTCAGGGGGAGGGGCCGTATTTCTTTGCGTGCTAGGAAAAAAATTTTCCCAGTTGTTCGCAGTTTTTCCTATTTTACATGTGCCGTATGCCCCCGCCCTCGCTCCATAACATAATTTTCAGGAAAGAGTAGGAAAAATTTCGGGAAGCTCGAAAAAAACTGGTAATAAGTTGGTGAAAATCAAGAAAATCTAGAAAGTTGTTAGGTAAGATGGGAGGTGGAGGGTCGTATTTTCCTCGCGGCTTTTCCCATTTCGGGTATTTCCCCTCCCCCCCCCGCCCCTCCCCATCGACAGCACGGTCAGATGAGGGACCTGGTGGAGGGGGCGGGGGGAGGGTGCGTATCAGGCTATCTTTCAGGGAGGGAGGTTTGTGCGAACGCGACGAAAATTTCCAACTAATGATGTGCCTTAATGATGTTTCGAACCACACATCTTAGTCGTTCGAAATGCTGCTGTACGCTCGGAACGGTTAGAAGACCGACGCAAAGTATAAGCGGCCTTCCGTGTTCTGCGACTTCCACAAGCTTTTCAACTGATCAGTGTACGTGGGGGGAGGGGGGGGGGGCAAAAAAAAGACACTTCGACCGAGTCACATATCAGCAAAGTTTTCGCAGCCCAGACAGAGGACGTGGATACGAGTACCAGGGCGGAAGATACCCAAGATGTTCCTCGATAAGCAGAAGCTGGCTCTCGCCCATCACCATGTACACCAAAATATGAGGTCATCTCCAGTCACAGCCTGACTGGAGAAGACCTCTGGAATTCATGTCACCTCCATCATCGAGCAGCTCCGACAACGTCGCTACGGTCTAGGACATCATCTTCACCGCAGTCGCCAAGGCGCGGGTTGATGGTATGGACCGGACGTACCTGGAATGGAAAGACCAATATTTTCTTCGTGGACCCCGGACTGAAGGTGAGCGCTGGCGGTTACATCGAGTCTTGGAAACTTTGTACTGCTACAGCATTGGGTGCCACCACATGGAATCGAAGGGCGTTGGAAAAACTCTCGCCTACTTGGAATGGAAGGGCGTTGAGTACCTAAAGAAGATGGAATATCCAAGTAGGTCACCTGACCTGAATCCCTCAATTACCCGGTTCGGGCGGAGTTCAATAGGGTGGTCTACAGTGGCGGAGAAATCAACGATCTCGCTGAACTCAGTTGCCCACTCACGGTCGCGTGGCAGAAAACTTATAGCGCCTCGAAAGTCAAGGAAGAAAAGTGTATTTTTTCTCTTTCCCCCCTGTATATCGATTCGTGAGTGGTGGTCGGCAACAATGACTTGAAATTGAATAAATCGTTCACCTGTCAATAAAAATGGAGTGGCCATACATGTAGTGTCCGGTCAAGGAAAGCTGGAACATTCAGTTAAGATCGAGCCGCTGAATGTTTTTGTGCAGCGAATCAGGGGAAAAAATGAAGGGATAGACTTTTACAATTTCGAAAATGAACTGACTGCACTCTAAGGAACTTCTTCACGATGACAGAAGCAGTTTCTAAAACTAACTCATACTTTTATTATTTACAAGACAATACATATTTACAATCGTATCAAATGTCAACTTCATATTCTTCGTCGACTTTCATCAACTCCAGAGCTTCTTGGAAAGACGGTTCATCCCGTTTCATCTCCAACATTTTCAGCCGTGATTCGTGATCTGTTTCCAGGATTTGGTCGGTCCACTTGAGGGAAGTGAAAGGTTCGAATTTATCACCAGGGTTACTTCGGCTCCTTTTCCGCCGTTTCGCTTGAGCTGCTAGTTTGTCGGATAATTTGGTCAATTTACGTTGATTCATGTGCAGAATGGACATTGTTGTATAGAGGGCATGTATTGGGCTGGAACTGAAAAAAAAATCGCAATTAAAAATACTCAAGGAATTTCATAAAATCTTGGGTTGGACAAAAAGTTCTGCAACATTTTGAAGTTGTCCCAGAGTAAAACGAAAATACATTTCGAATGTTTTTACCCCGATGGCTAGAGAGTGTCACCCGAAGTTCTGCAGACTGTGTTTTATGTGATACTTTGAGCATAAAAGTTCTTTAAGGGTCCAGTTACCTTCAACCTGATCCAGTATCATATTGAGGAATGAAAATGAGCGCTTGACGCCAATTTTCCTTATAAAAACCACAGCAATTGAGAAACTCTGTCTAGAGGATGAATGGGGGATCTCCATCAACACCATGTTTCTTCGCCTCAGTTGATGGTCATCTATCAGAGAACATCGCTACGGTTCGAAAAGTCGGACACCTATGGTCAGGCTCGTCTGATAAGTTGGAAATTGTTCCCCAGCTAAAAAAATTGTGCACGCGCCAGAACAAATGACGGCTGGAGAGGAAATACAAGACCATATGGCACACCAAAATGAGCTTCTCAACATAGGCGATGCGGTCTGCGTAATCCTTGTGTCGTGAGACCAAACGTTGTCATGGAAACCCCCGTCCCAAGTTTGTGTGGAACCCCTTTCCTCATAAATTCACTCACCTAGTCGCACGGACATGAGTAACGGTTGTTTACTAGGTTATGAATAATGCCACAAGCTCTTGCTTCCGCCTGGCCTAATAGTAATCGTTTTGCCCGTCCGAAGCCCTAATGCCTAGAAATGCGCACCAGGGATTTCTGGTCAGTTATTTTTAAGAGCGAAATTTCACAGTAAGAGTCGTTGAGTCAAAATGAAAATGATGAGTGCCAATGCCCACAATTTGTCTTCCAAATGATCGCAATGCTATTGCTAGGAAATAAACTGAAACTAAGAAAAGTGAAAACGAAAGTAGCCTGCTCAACATGCCCATTGTCGCAGTCCAGGAAACTAACGTCTGCGCTCCTCTAAGAAGAATGTTTTGCTATGCCACTGTGTCCCATTGGTGTCAGTGCCCAGAAGCTGGTTAGGCAGCGTTCATACTTTGCAGCTCCGTCCACCAGCGACCAATAGCGTCCACCAGCATCACGAGCGCCGGCAGCGTCAGCGACTAGGAATGTATATTAGGTCGTGGCGAAAATAATGACCGTTTTCGCACCTGCTATGTTCCACTGATCATAATTCATTGAAAACTTAGGCAAATATAGTAATTTAATATATCGTTCGGAAGCACATTTTTCAAGCTATCGTACAAATTTTTTTCCCGTTTCTCTGCCACCATTTCTTCTACGATTTTGGGTCCAGGGCACATCGTTAATCCCCAACAGGGGTCGTGTTTAATCGCCGCGAGAGGGGGGTCGTGTTTGAGCTGAGAAAAATTTATTTTGATACTCGGTTTTTACTCGCGTTTTTCGGTCGTTTACGGACATTGTAAAGGAGGGGTGGGGTCGTACTTACGTTTTGATGTTGTAGGACTGATGAATGACTTTCTGTGTTTTTCCTGTTTCATGCTTACTATATACCCCACCCCCCCCCCTCGACAGCAAAATTTTTGGGAAAAAGGAGGGGAATTCCTCGGGTTTTGGAAAAAGTGGCAAGAACTATTGGACGAGGAGGGACGGAGGGCCTCAGGAGGGGGGGGTCGTACCAACTCAAAAAAGGGGGGAGGGTCGCACAAACTTGACTAAAATCCCCAACCAATGATGTGCCCTGTTTGGATCACCCGCGAAGATAACGTCAAGACGCGAAATCCTACTCATCATGCTTCACGAGTACAAACTCGGCCGTAATGCTGCGGAAGCAGCTAGGAATATCATCAACGCATGGGGCGAAGGTACTGCAAATGAGTGCACCACGCGCAGGTGGCTCGATAAATTCCGAAATGGAGACTTCAACCTGGAAGATCAGGAGGGACGCGGTCGGCCATCGGAAGTTAAAGACGACGAATTGAAGGCACAGATAG